TTTTTTTTTTTTTTTTTTTTTTTTTTTTTTTTTCAAATTTGCTGACATATTTTACAGATAAAAATATGAGACACGTATTTATTAATATGAGAAACATAATGATTTATTCTTAAAAAAAAAAACATTCTTTACCAGTCCTGATACTAAAAATTCTGATAGGTTCAATTTGATTCTGTTGATTTCAGCATTAAAAACATATTTAAGAAGAAATATAATGATTTATTCTTAAAAAAAAAAAACATTCTTTGCCAACTCTGGTACTAAAAATTCTGATCGGTCCAATTTGATTCTGTTGATTTCGTCCTGCTAGCTTTATAGAGCTTTTGTTTTGCATAATATGGGTGAACTTTACTTATAATGTACTAGTATTGTAAAAAAATTATATAATTTCTTGTTCTTCTGACAATAATGAGTCTTGCGCACAGAACGCAAGAGTTTCCGCGGAAATTGCGAGAGTTAATCAATTTATCGCTTTTTCATAAAAACGAAAGAATGATTGGCTACTGCGCTAACTTTCGCCGCGCGGTAAGCGTTACTGCGTCCTGCTTGCGGGAGTCATTCAATTTATTGATGGACTATGTGATTTTATTCATTAATAAAGAATAATGCTTGTACCGTTTCATGTTCTGGCAAACTACATGTTAAATCCTGAGTAGGTGATATTGCAGTTGTCATATGTTTCGCTTATTTTTTTCTATCTCAATCTTGAGCATTTGATAACACTTTCCTTATAAGCAACTTAAAATCTATAGCCTGATAGTTTTCTCTGCAATACTTCTGTTCAATAATGTCGTAAATAATATCGTATTATAACAAGAAAAAGAAAATCGATAAAGAAATTAGTAAGTATACATTGAATGAAATGTGGTTTGATATATGTAAAGGAAAAATATTAAAAATACTTTCATCTTTCATGCAATTAAAAAAATTCATATTCACATGAGAAACTTGTGCTTAACTCTTGTGAATTTCGTTGCAATTTGGGTTGTTATGAATTTTTTAAACATATTCACTAATGATTTAGTAATAACTCAATTTTTGTCTAAACAAAAATTTTAAGCATGCAATTTTGGAAACTGGATTTAAGAGGATCATTTTAAATGTTAAAATGTTTTTATTGACATAATATATATAATTCGGAATACAAATAAATAAATAAATACTTAAATTTTTTTTATCACATCCACTTGCAGCTTATCATCATTTCCTTTTTATCAAATTTTATAAACTATCTACAAGATTGCTAATTGGCAAAAAAATGTTATGATTTTCTAAAAATGTATCACGGTTACAAACTGGAGCTTTTTTGTTTGCATCAACTCGTTAATTCTGATCACTTCTTTTTTAATAAAGACGAAATCAAATCGCACTTGATAGCTACTTAGATAGAAATTAGGAATATAATTTATATATTAGTCAAAACATGCTAAATGGTTGCAAATTGAGATCGGATTATCGTTTAGTCGTATTGGATGTAGTTTCATTTTTCACTAATGTCCTGATAGACTTAGCAGTGAAAAGCATTTAAAGCGTCACTAAGAGATGATTTCATAAAATATGAATATTCTTTTAGAGAAATTTTTAATTGCAATCAACATTGTATTAGGCTCCACGTATTTTATGTTTAATAAGGTTGTATATAAGCAGTTACTTAATACTCCAATGGGTTCTCCATTGTCTCCAATTATTGCTTACCTAGTAATGTAAAACTTAAAAATCTCTGTATTAGAATTGTTATCCTTCCAACTTCTTTTTCGTAAGATATGTCGATATTTTGCTTCTTGCTCTGAAAAATATGTTGGATACCGTTCTGGATGCTTTCAATTCTTTACATGAAAGATTGCAATTTACAAGTCGAAAAGAACAACAGTATTAGTTTTTTTGAATGTTTGTCTGATAAGAGAAGAAGAAGAAGTGATCATTTTCGATCTGTATCATAAACCATCCTTTTCAGGTACTTGAATTTTCATTTTAACAATTCTGTTAGTTACAAGAAGGGCATAATATTTAGTATGGTAGATAAAATTATTAAATTAATTCACTTTATATATATATAAATTTCATCAAAAAAACTTCATAGATATGATAAATATATTATTAAAAAACAAAATTACTCTTTCACAATATTTTACATTTGCCATAATTATACAAAGACTTAAAATGCTCTTCTACAAGAAAGACAATAAAATTATCTATAGTGACGATCTATAATGACGCGATCTATAATTCTACCTTACCAGGGAAGAGAACATTCTTTACCATTCCTTATATTAATTCCGTATCCGAAAAATTTATTCCGATTTTTATACAGGACTCAATCGCAAAATTGCCTTTACGCTATTCCTCACACGCTAAAAAAAATTTATAACGACAGGTAAAAATTTGTTAGATAATATGTCTCGTGTGTTTTGTGATGTCATTTATAAGATATTGCTTGGATTGTAAGGCATCGTACGTGGGCCAAACTAAAAGGTAGCTTAAAACTAAAATTCATGAGCATAAATCCGATATAATCCAAAAATTTTCAAAATGTTTATTTTATAATTCACTGAGTTGTCGATTTTTCATCACTTCGGCAGTGCATAGTGCCGGTGTAAAGTTAGCACGAAGAGGTGTGTTCACAATGCAATGAGGAACCACTTAAGGTTTTTAGAAAAAGCACGTACATTTATTTATTGAGAACTAATGGATTAAATTTGAATATCTTGAAGATGGCTGTAAAGAACAGCCGATTAATTATTAATATATTGTATATGATACTATGAATAAAATTGTATAATAGACACAAATTACAGCGGTATTTAGCTCTAATTAGCCCGGTTTTATTTTAATTGTTAAAAATTTCTTTTATTTGATCGCGTACGTTCCCTGCCGGAAAAGCCACTTTTATGGCTCTGCACAAATCTTAATATTCTGCGCCATAGATATGTTACTTATATAAAAAAATTTCGAGAAAAAAAACCACTATTTTAACGAAAAAATGTCGGCAGTCTAAAGGTTAAAGAACAGAGTTCCGACTGTTATATATTTTTAATTAATTTTTTAATCCGGTTCTAGCATCACTTGGAGAAAAAGTGTCTTGCTGGTTATTTATCGTTATTGTAGAGCATAGAATTTAGCTAGAACTAACGAGAACTGTCAGTTAAACTGCTGTAAGCAATCAGCACAACACTTTCTTCGGGCCGTTTTCTGTATATAAAATGAATAAAAATTAAAAATTATTGGAATTTTGTTTTCAAAATGCATGTATTAGTAAATCTTTAATAGAATTATCGGGAATTGTTGCTAAAAATGCTAATATTTGTCATTTTCTTGTACTTTAGAGGAAAATTGTCGTGTTAGATTCGCGAAGTTAACACGCCATATTTTCATATTTGGTTTTTTTTATGTAAAACATGCGGAACTTATTTTTATTTTTATATAGAACTATAGAACTATGAAAAGTGCCACTAGAACTGTTATTATTTTTTTTTTTTGTTAATAGAATGTTGTGCTAATTTCATAGATCCTCCGACCGACAGCTAAAACCTATTGAAAGTTAGGGTCATGATAACATTAGTTAAAATCAAGGCTGTTGAAAGTTGTTCCTCTCATTTTCATTTTTAACGTAAAAATGAAAATAGGAGGATTTACCTGCAATGATCTTGAGCTTGACAAATGTTATCAAGATTAAAAAGAATTTCATTATAATACTTTGAAAAGATCTTACGTCAACCACAAGAATAATGAAGAAAAGTGGGAGTTTCTATTCCAAATTTTAAAGTTGAATTTGAGAGCTCCTCCATACTTAAGGTCAAATAAGTCTCGCCGTTTAATGTATTGTTCAAACCCTATGATTCTTGTGTGAAACATTTTCTCAAAAATTCACTTGTTAATGAGATATCCGATTGTATCTGAACTTTCAGCCCACCCTGTATATATCATAACAATGATATGTTCTATTATTACAACTATAAAGAAAATATTATTTTTAAAATAATGTTTGAGGACGATTTTGATTAAATTTCAGTTAATTTAATGGGTAATTGATTCAACTAGCAGTATCATTAAAAAAAATGTTTAATTATATAATATAATTTGTTGTCTTGAACCTTGTTTCTATATGTTAAACAAAAAAAAATGAATAATTTTAACAAAATGTTAACAAATAGATTAATATCTCAAGAGCGCGCCTAAATCTGATTATTTCTTTGTTAACAAAATAGTATGAATATTATATGATAGATTAATTTCCGATTAAGTTAATTGGAATTTGATCGAAGTCATCTTTAAAAATATAAATATGAAATTCATCGACCAATTTGTCTTTAACCATAGTTCTTTGACCAATCCGTTTCTCATCGGTGAAAATTTGGCGGAAACAAAAATATCTTGTCTATTAAGATCATAAGGTTTTTTTCATAAGAAACTTCTGTGATATGTATTAACGAGTAACGAAATCTTGCATTTTAATTTTAAGCGAGTCAGAGTTGAATTAAAGACCTTAGACTATTCATCGAAAAATTTTAGTTGAAAGATGCACACTACATAATTCGTTTGTATCATTTCAGCATTCGATCATCCTACTCTCTCGTGACTCGTGTAACTTGTACGCTTCTAGTTTCTATCGGCTCAATTAAATTGTTTGCTTACAAATTTAGAAGCAAACGAAATGATAACATTTTATTGGGTTCTTGCACAGCAGAGAATTAAAAATATATTACTTTGCCACCTAGCACTTTGCTCTCCGATTCTGTTTTGCAGATATAATGAATGAATTATTTATAACGAGAAACATCCGGATAAGAGGATATGTCGATTCTATAACTTCTCTTGAAGTTATAGAACCGACATATCCTTTATAATACACACTTAGGAGGATTGTCGCGGAAGGGATTTGAAATGTGTAAAACAAGTTAACACTATTTGTTTGTTGCAGATGTTAACGCTGCAGAGCAGGAGGAATTGTTTATCAAAAAATTACGTCAATGCTGCGTGGCGTTCGATTTCATGGACCCAATGGCTGATCTCAAAGGCAAGGAAATTAAACGAAGTACGCTCAATGAATTAGTCGAATATATCACAGCAGGGCGAGGTGTCCTCACCGAGCCTATTTATCCGGAAACTATCAAGATGGTATGTATTTAATAACAGAATTATGATAAAATATAAGAAAATTATTAGAGTTAAAAATAAAATTCCATTTTTTGTATTAAATAATGCTTTTAATGTATGTTAAATATATCTACACGAAAAAAATAATGTATTAAGAGGATGCTGGCGTGACCTCCGTCAAGTTAGCACTTCCGTCACTGAAAATTAAAATAATATATATATTAAAATTAAGTGCTAATTAGGTACTAATTTGGTGCTAATTAAGTGCTCTATTCCTGATTTTAGTACTCAAGCAATTTAGTAGAAATTTGTTTAAAAGTGAGAGTGTTAAGATTCATGCCAAGTTAGCAATCCAAAATACAAACAAAAATAAAAATAATTACAAAATTAAGTGCTTTTAAGAGCAACCCGACTAAAAAAAATTTTCGTAGGACCCTCCTTAGGTCCACGTATGGCTTGCCCTACTTCCAGATCCGGTTCAGATCCGATGCCCTAATAGAATCCTAGTACGATAACTCCACGTATCAAATGGCCCTAATCAGGCTGTCGTATTAGGCACCGATCAGGCCGCCGGATTAGGCACCGATTAGGCAACAGGGCATAGACCTGATTACTCGATTACAGTCTGATTTTACGTAATCGGATTCTCGAATCTCGATTTGCCGATGTAATAAATGCACAATATTTTTATATTTAGAAATATGAGTATTTAAAAAAGTATACATTAAAATTATACAAAAAATTAAATGTATATTTTTAACATAGAATTAGAGAATAATTACATATGAATTATTATTCACCACTAGACGAATATCTCGGGAATTAAGAAAAATAGAAATAAAAACAAGTTTGAAATAAAATTCTTGGGGTTTATAATTATATTTTTATTAAGATTATATTAAAAATATATATTTATAATTTTATAAAATTATATTAAAATTATATGTATTTTTTTATTAAAATCACCTAATATGATCTTGACCTTAAATACTGTATTATAAGATTCGGTTTTTTTAACATTATAATATTAGAATATGCATTGTTTATTGTAATTTAATTACTTTTTTCCAAAAATGTCCGTTAACTCTCCCAGTCTTTTGCATTATTAATTACTGATTTGAATGCCTCAATAAAATCTTTCTCTTTTAAATCAGCTTTATTGGTTAGAGAAAATTCTTCAATTGCTCCTGCGATTAATAAAACATTAATAAAACGATTTATTTAATAAAATAAGTAAACATAATAAACCTTTGGCTCATAGCCCTATTCCTTTTTGCTTTTTAATTTTATTGAGCCTTATTACTATTATATTTTAAACATAATAATTTCTTACAAGAGAGTCTCGCAAAGTATCAAATTTTGACTTTAAAAAACTGTATATACATATAGATTATGTAAATAAATGAATTTAGAAAATATCAGTTGTGTCTCAAAAACGGTTTTAACGGAGAAATCACTCCTCATACGTAAAGCAGTTTTCAACTAAAGAATAATAAAAAATTTTTTTGTCTTTTGGCGCCGAGACACTACCGTGTCTTGAGATCTAATATTATCTCTCATACATTCACGAATAGTGAAATAATGTTTGGTTAATATAACCAAAAATAATATTACTTTTACAAATATTTAGCAAGTATTACCAAATGGTAACAGTTTGATAATACTTATTAAATAGCAAACATGAAGAAAGCTGTGCTTTTAGTTGCATAAAAATGGGCAAAATCAGAAATCCACGGCTCATCAGTGTGAAGTTCCTCGTAAAATATTAAGAAGATATTTAGATAAAGTTAGAAAAAAAATAAAAAATTTTAATTATCAAATAAAGACTTTAAATTCCTGTGTTCATATTACTCTTAAAAATGTTCATATTATCCTACTCAGAAGGTAATATGAGCACTAGGCGAATAATAAAAGCACCCGCCACCATTTCAACATTTGTATTAAAATAATCAATTTCAATACTAAAATACATCAACAAATCTATCAAATGGTATGCATAAAGATTTTTTATTTTTCAGTATGCTAGATATATCACAATGTTTCCTTAAAGTGCTCATAATATTCCATCCTACCTTATATATTATCAAGATCAAGGTAGGTAGATGTTATCATCGGCGAAGTCTCTTGTACAGGGTGGGGCATTTAAAGTGTTACAAATATTTAAAGTATTACCTCTGAAAGTATGCGTTAAATCAAAAATATGTTTAGACAAAAGTTTTACGACTTCGAGGAGATCATAAGATGATACCATTGGTTTGACTTTGGGTGTCGTTGTCAAGGTCACAGCACTTTGAATTTTTTAAATGGAATCTTCCATTTTTCATTACATATTCTTGTAGCTTACTTCGAGAGCTTTTCAAAACACTATAATAAAATATTTTTTTATTATGTACTTTTTGAGTTAAAAGGCGTGAAAGTTACAGTACTGCCGGTATTAGCATTACTCAAGGTGTCCGACTGACGGCTAAAACCTCTTAAATGTTGTTTAGGATCATAACCTAGATAACATTTGTTAAAATCAAGGTTAATCTATTAAAATCATTAGAGGTTGTTCCTTTTATTTTCATTCTTGCACTAAAGATTCATTTTTACGTAAAAATGAAAATAAGAGGAACAACTGACCTTCATCTTAACAAATGTTATCCAGAGCATGATTCTGAACAATATTTAAGAGATTTTAGCCGTCGGTCGGACATCTTGGGTAATATTATTGTATTGTAGCCTTAATATTGTAGCCTAGGTAATAGTATTGTAGCCTTCAAGTCTTATAATTTGAAAAGTACAAATATATCTTATTATAGTGTTTTGAAAAGCTCTTGAGGTATGCTACTAGAATATGCAATGAAAAATGGGGCATTCCATTTAAAAAATTAATAGTGACTTTGCCCTGACCTTGATAACGCCATCCAAGGTCGAACAATGGTACCATCTTATGTCCCCTTCGAAGTCACAAAACTTTTGTCTGAACATTTTTGATTCGACTCATACTTCCAGAGACAATAGCTTATAACACTTTAAATGCCTCACCCTGTATAGTTATGACTCTAAGTGACCTCCAACAGGTTTTAGTTGTCACTCGTTTTTCGATAAAAAGTTATTAACAATCAAAGTTCGTAATTATTTCTTCGCTTTGCATGGAAAGTCCCTAGTCGGTCCCAGTGGGATGGACCGACTAAGGATGTATGATTTTCCACGCAAAGCAGGTGAACCTCGCTTCGCATGGAAAGTCATACGCCTCTAGGCGGGGAGGGGGGGATGGGTTTCACTTCGCGTAAGTAGGGAAGAGTGTGAGATAATCTTGAATTGTATGTGGCAGAAATAAGACATTAAAAAAATTTTTTTTTGTTAATAACTTTGTAACGAATAATGAGCGACGGTTAATACTTGTTGGAGGTCATGACCTTGACAACATATGTAAAGGTCATTGTCATCGGAGAAATCTCCCTTAAAGTGAATGTTTACCAAATAAAATCTCAGAAATGACTAAATATCGCAATAAGTTCTCAGGTTTTAAGATGCTAGTAGATCTAATTGAATTTGGAGAGATTATTAATGTTTTTCGGATTGATTGTGTTGAAAGACCGAAAGTAATCGGTGCGCAGTCATTTCCAAGATAAATTTATTTAAATTTATATCCATATAATTATATAGTCTGTCAAGTAAGAGCGGGTCGGCCTTACTCACAGCTGGTGAAAAGTATCATCTTAAGGGTCTGAGCACAAGAATTGTCGTAACACTTACTTAGACTTAAGTTGTAGACGCTAAATCTCAGACCCTAAATCTTTCGTGAGTCAATAGAGGGAACCTTTGTCCTTGATGTACTGCCAAGAAAGATTCAGTTGTAGTTTTTGTAAGAGAAACACATTAAGCGCTCTTAAACACCGCAGCAAGTTCTATATCGAGTGGAATAAACAATCTGGCATCATTACACTTGATTGGCCGCTGTTATCGCCCGACCCAATCCCATCGAAAATGTGTGGGCATACATTAAGCACAAGTTTCGTGGAAAATGCACATACATTTTGAAGCAGTTATCTTACGAGATTCATCGGATTTGAAGGTTCTTAGTTATTAGTATGTACACCGTTAATTTGGTTGAAAGCATGCCTCGGAGATGCCAAGCAATTATCGACGCCGATAGTGACTGGACGCATTATTGACATAATTGCATATTTGTCTTCTTATCGAATACAATGCATATGTATTTGAAAATTTTGTTTAATAAATTTTTTAATAAATTCACTCGACCACAATCTTACTTGATAGACTGTATGTATTATATGTATGTATTATAACCTAACGTCTAATTTTGACCATAAGTGGCGCTTCTTTGTATTTAGAAAATTATTTTAATTAGACTGTTATTAATTAATGCTATTAATACATAATTTTTTCCGTGTAATAATGGATGTAATAAATAAAATTTATTGTTACTATTTAATGCTACTGTGTAAATGTGGTTTGAAATCATTTAAAGATCTTTTGTATGGTATTTGTTAAAGGTTTCTGCAAATCTATTCCGTACATTGCCACCTAGCGAAAATCCAGATTTTGATCCAGAAGAAGATGATCCAACCTTGGAGGCGAGTTGGCCTCATCTTCAGTTGGTTTATGAAGTCTTCCTTCGTTTTCTCGAATCTTCAGATTTCCAGCCTGCTATTGGCAAAAAAGTTATTGACCAAAAATTCGTGTTACAGGTAAAGTAGTATTACAATCTTGCTCTTTAATATCCCTCTAATATATCACACTTTTTAACAGTCGATAGGAGTGATAGGCCAACTTACGTAAGTTAAAAGCAGGGAATATGGAATCCCGTTTTTTTAGTAACATTGTTCTAACATAAATGCTATGAAGACTTTAAAATGTAGAATTCTTGAGAAATATGTTAGCTATAACATCCAATAAATGAAAGTCGCCAAAATTTAAGTCCAACGTTAGTATAACAAAAAAGTAAAAAGTGTGAAAATGGGGAGTCTAAAAAATGGAATGTAATATGGAATACTGGTCAAATTTAGGTTAATATTTATTTTAGTGATATAATGTTTGTATAATAATTTAAGATTTAATATTGTTCATGTGCAATAATGTTTTTGTATTTCCTATCTGCTACAATTGTACAGTAAAGGTATAAACTATTTAAAACTGTATATAGTAAATATTCAGATGGGGGGGAGTCAGCGCAGATATCTTGACCTTGACATATGTTGTCAAGGTCATGACCCTGAGTAACCTCCAACAAGTTTTCATCGTTTGTTGTTCATTACAAAGTTATTAATAAAAGAAGTTTAAGAAATATTGTCTTTTAGTATATACAGTAATTAAATACTACTTTACACCTCTTGTTTGTAGGGCATAATGACTTTCCAGGCAAAGCAAGTTTCATCCCACCTCCCCCCTGCTGAGAGGCGCACGACTTTCCACGCAAAATGAGTTTTACCTCACCTCCTCCTTTGCCGTGGGGGCGCACGATTTTCCACGCGAAGCGAGTTCCATTCCACTCCCCCCCCCCTCGCGTAGGGGCGTGCGACTTTCCACTCAAAGTAAGATCTATCCGCATAAAAAGTCTTACGCCCCTTAGCAGGGGGGGGGGGGGGGAGAAAGATAGGGTGGAACTCCATTCACGTGGAAAGTCGTGTTCTTCTAGGCAGAGGAGGAAGTGGGGTGAAACTTACTTTGCGTGGAAAATTGTATGCTCCTCGGCAGGGGAGGAGATGGGATGGAACTCGTTTCGCGTGAAAAGTCGAGCGTCCCTAGGCAGGGGAAGAGATGGGGTGAAACTCGCTTTGCATGGAAGATCGCCTCTTGGCAGGGAAGAGGTAAAGTGGAACTCGATTCACATGGAAAGTCATTACGTAAACAGGAGAGGGTATGGCCGGTATTCATAGTCGATTCTTATTTCAAGACCATCTTAAGTAATGTCTTAAGACTCTAATGCGGCCCTTTGATTGGTTCATGACATTTCAAGACTGAACTTAAAACGATCTTGAATATAAAAACTGACTATGAATTCTGGCCTATGAGGACAATTCTTAATATTATTTGTAGTAAAAATGAGACGTTATTTTTCAAACTTTTTGTTAATAATTTTTTACCAAACAACGAGCGACGGCTAAAACCTGTCGGAGGTTACTCAGAGTCATGACCTTGACAGCATATGTCGAAGTCAAGGTCATTGGCGCTGGCTCCTTCTGAATATTTACCCTGTATTTCAATATATATAAAGTGGTAATTTTAAATAATGGTAACAACGGTAACAACAGGAGTTATGATAAAAAGTAACACAGGTCTACATGGAAAAAATTGTTTTAACCATTTTAGTTGTTTTTAATGTATTTTTGGCTAAATACAAATACACTGTCCAAATTTAGCTATCACGTCACAATTTTGAGAAAAATGGCATTAAAGAGGTAAAAAAAGGCAGTATATTTTAAAAACTACTTTGTCAATTTTACATTGCTTTTTGATTTAGCATGTTCTAATTATATTTTTGATGCATTTTTAAATATTAAATTAAAAAAACAATAAAAATATTGTGTCACACAAATATTTTACATGTTTAATTTTCTGATTTGAATTATCAAATTCCTATAAAATCAATATATATTTTTAAAACAACTTTTAACAATTTAGAGTATCTATACAAGCTAATGAGCTAAGCATAGTGCAACAACTGTTTTTTAATTCACAATTTAAAATACATCTATCATTATTCTAGACGTTTCGGTTCTCACAGAACCATCCTCAGTGGACACGTAACTTACAAATACATATTTATAACCGGTCTTGTCTCTGTCAGTTGAAATATTGCTCAATTATTATTGCGATTCCTACTCTGATTATAACTTGGAGGGATGATCCATGGAATTGTAATACTGAATGTTAACAAGTTTCTTTATGGTACAGAATTACTTGAAATTGTATTTGACATTCTATTTGAAAATTGACAGATCGACAGAAACAATGAGAACATTTAGTCTCAATATTTATGTCGATCTGTTAACTTTCAAATAGAATGTCAAACATAATTTGAAGTCCATATTTGTGAGAACCGAAACGTTTGGAATAATGATAGATGTAATTTAAATTGTAAATTAAAAAATAGTTGTTGCTCTGTCAGCATGCATAGCTCATTAGCCCTTGTATAGACACTCTAAATTTGTATTTTATTGAGCTTTTCGAGACTTTGTTTAACTTTTAAAAAATTTTAATTTTATTGTCCTGTGTAATTTTTGACAATTCTGAATACAACTAAGATTTACATTTGTATCCGTTGTACAATTAGTATAAACTGTATATCTAAATTATGCGAGCATAGCATAAGTCAGCACGACCTTCAAAGTCCCTCAGCATAACGATATTAAGGATATTTTACTCTTGCGCGCAGTCCTTCGTGCTCGGCTTTTCCGTCCATAAATCGGGTTTGTAGAGCTTCGATGTGAACAATGGTCGCGTTCAGCAAATTCAACTGATGCGGAGCGGATCCGTGAGCGCTTGCTGCTATTGGATGATCTAAAAGAACACACCAATAGTAGCGAGCGCTCACGGATCCGCTCCGCAACAGTTGAGTCTGTTGAACGCGACAAATACTACACATTTGAGTTATTTTAAGCTAACACAGCTCATCTAATCTTATTATTTTAAAACATAGTTTCTGGGTATTTTAATCGCTGCATCTGAATCTGTGGTCACTATTAAAACCTATTTCTTATTAAATAATTTATTTTTACATAATGGTATACTACATATTTTACTAAAAATTATTTGAACTATTAGTCCGCTATATTGGATCGCCATTGAATTGTAAAATTCTGACTTCTGTCGTAATCGGTGACTCAAAAAATCTCCGGGTACAAAGTTTAAAAAAAATCGGTCTCATATAAAAATTCATAATACAAAGGATTAATATAATTAAATTAATGAATGTACAAATATAACTGATTATAATTACCTGTTACAGTTATTGGACTTGTTTGACTCGGAAGACCCCAGAGAAAGAGATTTCCTGAAAACCGTTTTGCATCGTATTTATGGCAAGTTCCTGGGTCTTAGAGCCTTCATACGCAAACAGATTAACAACATTTTTTTGAGGTATTTATTTCAATGAGTTATTAAAAATGGATAGGTTATAGGAAGCTGTAATAAACGTGTGATAAAAAGTACAATCGAAAAATGAGCGTTTTATTCAAAGATAGTACATTAGGGATGTCTATCTGACATGAGTGGCACTGTACGGCGCACAGTTTGGAAACGAAATGTCTTATTATAACACTCTCACTTATTAAATATAAAAATTACATTGTAGCAATAGAAAAGACAAACTGGAATACATAGTGAACAAATACTTTTGAGAAAATCTTGTTACACTCTACTACTTTATTCAGCAGGGCTAATTTCCAATCTTTTATGCATACAAGACTAGCTTTATGCGTTCATCGACTGCTTTGGGCTGTCAGCCATTCTCTTTGGTAGAAACATATTCCATTTCAATGATGAAGAGGAGCGCGTTGCTGCAAAATCGTGTTTGTTGATTGATTCGACAGGGAAACCATATCGTTGGCATTTTCTGTCGCCAATCCGTAAGGGAACTATTTCTTTCCAAGTGAATCATGATTTGGTTGATCAATGTTTCATGAGTAGCGAGTGGTTTTAAACCATAGCGTCTAAAGAGAAATTTTCCAACCGCTTTCGATCTATAATAAATAGCGTGACTGAGAAGAATTCAACTTTCGAAAATACTGGCACACAGAAATCATGCGGATATGATGCATCACGATGTACCCAACAAAACCACGTACTGCGTGCAATGATGACGCCTCGATTACTGTTCTCTTGCTTAGGATATATCCCGCTTCTGATTGCTGTAGAGAAAATAAGATTATTTGGACGAAAAAGAACTTCCTGAGTGAACTAGCGTTATTATCGAAGAATTTGTCAATAGTAAGAAAGGGGAAAAGTCAGGCCAATAAAACTAGCGAGTAATGCAAATGATGATTGGCGAGACATTCAGGCATCTCGCACTCAAAGTATCAAACGACTTTTCTCTCAGTTATTGCACGCAAAAGCAATTGTCTCAACTCTCCTTTATTACTCATATTTTTCTTTTCTTAACCTAATCAGATTGTCTAGTAACTGTTGGGAACCAATTGCTCACGCTCTTCTCCTATTTAATCAATCTAGGTAATCCGCTGGTAGATAATCACGGCACGTGCAGGAATATGGCGTAAGAATAACATGTATGATGTATTTCTTACAAATTAAGTATCGCTCGTATAACGACGTAGATAATTTTCGACTTACAAGCGAAGTTACTCAGATGTCTAATTAGCTTCGAAAAAGTAATCGTTAGAAGTTACAGTATCCTACCTCTTATTCATGGATTCATAAATAAAAACCTCGGTGTAAAAATCGCTGAGTAAGCTACATTCCGAAACTTATCGAAACAAAGTGTCGCAACCTTTTTGTGATCGGCTGTACACTAGGGATATCTATCTGAGTGGCGCTGATGGTGTGCAGTTTGGAAACAAAATGTCTTGTATATATTACAACATGAAATAATTTATATTAAATTCTAATAGGAATTTAATTGTACATAATATTGTATTGTTCAATTATACGTAATATTGTAATAATAAAAATAATTTTTATCAATAATCAATAATAACATCAATTTACTTTAGATTCTTTCATGGGATGCATTCCATTTAATATTCGCAATGCTCGCGTGCATTTCATCCTTGTTTAACATTTGATAAATAAGGATGAAATAATGTTTGCGAACGTTAAACGGAACACACCTAAGATTTCTATCTTGATATCTGTTTAATGTCTCGCTTTATTATCATTTCAGGTTTGTGTACGAAACAGAACATTTCAACGGGGTTGGTGAACTTCTTGAAATTCTGGGTAGCATTATTAATGGATTCGCTCTTCCTTTAAAAGTTGAGCACAAGCAATTTTTGGTTAAGGTACGATTACATTCTTATGATTAAGAGAATTGAAATATATATCAAAGATTCAATTCAGATTTTAAAATATGTTATTGTACACACCCTACCCACTAATGTTGAATCAACCTCTCAGAAACGTTGAATATTGCATCAACATCGCAAAATGTAGATTCAACATTGAAAATATATTGCAGAAATATTCGGTGTCGTTAAATTTAATTTATATCTTACAGACGTTGCAATTCAACATTGATTTAACATTGATTTAATGTGTAATACAATGTAGATTTTACTGATTCACCGGTAAAAAATTTTTCGTATATTAATTAATCTAGTTTTATCGCTAAAATAAATATTATTGATTAGCATCATATTTCAGAATATACATAAAATTATGATTAAAAAAAATTTTCTCCTGAAATCAAGAATTAATTTTATGGTTTCGAAGTGGTTATCCTAAAGCTGTCCCCCAGCCGATGCTGCTTGACTTCTGCAATCATACAAACACTTAATAGATGTATATAGCTGTAACATATTTGGTTGATAGATATATTATATAATACATAATTATATATATTTTTTTATATAATTTTACATGGTTATAGAAAATTTTTTTACCGGGTCAATATCTATTCAATATTTATTCAACATATAAGCAATGTAGATTTTATATATACATATTATGTACATTATACATTTAAAAAAATTGAATAAAATGAATGTGTAAAATTAGTTTTTAATATATATTGGAAGAAATTCAATTTTAAAAAATAACATTGATTTTTTTTATTATATAAAATTAATTCTTCTATTTTCTAAAATGTACTGTATATAACTATATATATATATATATAAAATTAATATAATAATATATATATTTCTCAGAATTTTGCATGCTTAAAAATTTTTTATTTAATAAAAAGTATATATATTTATTTCTTTTCAATATTTAAGATATGTATTTTAAATAAAAATAATAATTTGTTCAATGTTGTTTCAACGTTGCAGCAACATTAATAACATTAGAGTAAAAAATTACTTCGAACCGAACTAGATGTTTCTTATAAATAGATTTTTGAATGCTGAAACGATGCTGCCGCAAGCCGAAAATTTCCAGCACGTCAAATTTTTGTCAGTTTTTGTTTGATCATTCAAATTGTGGTCAAACTACATCTCATTGGACTTTCCAAAGTCTCATTTTCGCAGGCCTGTGTAATTGTTAGGAGAAGCAGGGCCGCTGCTGGTACATAAAGTACCTTTATGCAAAGGAGTTTTGCTCTTGTATTTTTACTTACTAATCTTTTAAATAAGATATGATTTTAAATAATTTTATCAAATGTCTTTAGACAAGGCGCAATTTGATCATGTTATTTTTTTCTAGAACGGAAATGTAGAAAGTAAAAATTTTTACTATTGAAATTAATAGAGAAATTTTTCACATTTTCTAGAGAAATAATCGGTATCCTGATACACATGCAATTATTGTTAGAAATGTAGAATTGATTTTTAACAATCTAATTCTTCTTTTAACAATCTAATTCTTCTTTTACAATCTAATTTTTCGATACAAATAAAGTTTCACTCTCCTCCGAAATAAAGAGGAGAGCAAAGTTCGATTTCTTCTCTTAAAATATCCTGTTAGTAGGGATTTTGTTGGGGAAAAGATGTTGAAAAGTAACTCTGAAATTTTCCACATTTTTTGAAAGCCTGAAACAGTAAAAAAAATGGGCCGAACAAAAGATTCAAATTGCGGATGGAAAGAGAAAATGTATGATTGTAAACAGAGGATTAAAACTTAATTTAGAGGGTACCTCCTTTCTTAATGCGCCTTTATGCAGTGCACAATTTGCACATCTGCTTGCGGCGGCCCTGAAGAGAAGAAACGGAATTTAAAACTCAAGACAAGAAAAATGATTTAAAAAATATCTTTGTGGGAATTTTTTTTAGGTGTTGTTGCCACTACATAAAGTGAAATGTTTATCGCTCTATCATGCGCAATTAGCTTATTGTGTGGTACAATTTTTGGAAAAAGACGCGACTTTAACAGAACCAGTTGTACGAGGCCTCCTTAAGTTCTGGCCTAAAACGTGCAGCCAGAAGGAGGTGATGTTCCTTGGTGAAATTGAAGAAATATTGGACGTTATAGAACCTAACCAATTTGTTAAAATACAAGAACCTTTATTCAGGCAAGTCGCACGTTGCGTGTCTTCACCACATTTCCAGGTAATTTATATAATATTTTATACAACACTAATTTTGACGAATTCGTCGTGAAGTTGTGAAATAACGAATCACATATTTTTTATTACAGGTTGCAGAGAGAGCATTGTACTTTTGGAATAACGAATATATAATGTCTCTAATTGAAGAAAACAACCAAGTAATAATGAAGATTATGTTTCCAGCATTGTACAAAATTAGCAAGGAACATTGGAACCAGACGATTATAGCTCTTGTTTACAATGTTTTAAAAACGTTTATGGAGATGAACAGCAAGCTCTTCGATGAACTTACTGCCAACTATAAGTTGGACAGGCAAAAGTAAGACCAAACTTTTAAAATGTTTTATATTTTGTCAAATTCAAGCGAAATTTTCTTTAATTTATTTTAGTTTTTAATTAAATTTCAATAATTTAATGCTGTATTAAAAGTCCAATAAAATTTATTTAAAGTTATATGAAGAACAAAGATTTAATTACATTATTCCTTTACATGTATATGTCTGAATTATAGAGAGAAAAGGAAAGAAAGAGAAAGGGATGAGATGTGGAAGAAACTAGCCGAATTAGAACGACGCAATACTCTCGACCGTAATGCTCTCGCAGTTTCCTCCAATAATCCAGTTCCTGCCACTAACACATCTATGATGCGAACTCGTCCTTGAACTAGTAAGAATATTATTTCATCTATTTCTAGAAACTTAAAATCTTTAGTCATATTATATACTGTCCAATATAATTTTTTAAGTATTAATAGTTATTTCTGATATATATTTTCATCTGTTGAACACGAATTTATTGGACAAAATTATCTATCATAATTTTGAAAAAAATGACATTAAAGAGGTAAAGAAAACAACGATTTTGAGTTTTTATGATAGATATATTATGTAGCTTCGCAAGCAAAAAGTTTTTTCAAAATGTTATTCATGCCATGCGAAAGTAATAACTTTCAGCTTTAAGATGTATTTTGTTTCGGAATCATTTTTTGTTTTTTAGATGTATCTATTTAAAAATAGCTCTTTCCCATGTATAATACATAGAAAAGGCATTTTGTTCTATCTTAATGCATTATGTAGAAACTATATGTTTTTGTACTTACGTAATATAATTGGATCATACTAAATCAAAAAGCAATATAAAATTGACAAAGTACAATATGGCAGGCAGATTATAATCTTCAATGTTTTAAGATTACAATCTTTTTACCACATTATATTTTGTTAATTTCATATTACTTTTTGATTTAATATGATCCAATTATATTATGTCAATATGAAAGCATTTCCTTTTTACATATGCAGTATTAAAAGGATTCTAAACTGAGGACCAAACTGCGACGAGATCACTTTTATCGATTCACTAGGATTTACACGATTATGATGTATGTATCATCGATACATCACTACATATTACTACATCAATATTGCACGCATATATACGCACAAATTTTCGAAGACATTAATCTTTCATATTAAACATGTAAGTCTTAATTTAAGAACTCAACATTGTTTATTCATGTAATCCACAGTTCAAATCGTTTCCAGTTTGTACAAATACGCTATAGAATTTTCATATGAAGCAAATATTAACACAAATTGATAGCTCTAGACACCATTTTGGACTAGGAGTTGGTGAAACGGAAAAATTTCTTAATTTTTTTTTGTTTTTTCGACCAGTTTAGATTGGGTCTATACTTTTAGGGGGGAACTTGGTTTAGAACGCTGAAAAGTAGCTGTTTTCTGTGAATTTTTTATGAAAAACAAATCATGAAGCCGATTTTTTCAAAACTTTAGGGATGATTTGTTGTATATTTGAAAAATACAAAATAATTTTTTAATAAAAAAATAATTACTATAACATAAAGTTATTTATTAATCATTATCATGCTTTGTCACCGGAGTTGTAAATTGTCGTGTAATCTAGAACCTGTATTTCTATAAGTCTTGCCTGAAACAAAAAAAAAACAATTTTTTTTTAATTAGATAATATTTTATTCTCGATGAACTAAAAAAAGGTATCAAATTGTAAGAATTGTGGGACTTCGAAAAAAAGTAACAATTTTGATAAAAAAAATTTCGATTTATTTATGCAGAAATAATTGTTTATGCTAATTTTTTAATAAACGTTTTCATTTAGAATCGTCGATAATTATGTAACTAAAAAACCTTACAAGAAATCGATTGATCGAAAAGTTTTTGAGTAATCTCGCACACTAATTTTAAAAAAGTGGTTTTGAGAAAAACGCGTTTAAAATTTTTCAGAATTTAAGTGTTTTGAAATGAGGCGCCAGATGATGGAATCAAAGTTTTGAATTTGATTCCACCATTTTTTTGCGTGTGCTTGCCTAAACATCTAGTTAAAAGATCTTTCTAAAACAAACATCTGCCAAGATCAATGATACCTTGTTAGGGATCGAAAGATGGAGCACAATGGGCACTCCTGTATACTTGCGCAACGCGTACCTGTTTCCCAAGCTGTAACTACAAAAATTTCGAATTGCACTTTAAAAATTTACGAGTATATTTTCTGAGAGTACTGTTGATTAAATAAAAAAAAAAAAATCGAAAATTTTGACCCTTTAAACCAGGTTCCTTTCCTTTAATTATAGAAAAATTCCTTTAATTATAGAAAAGGATTTTTAAATCTGATAAAGACGATTTAAAAAATAGTGTTTTGAAAAATAATCGCATTTGATTAGTAAAACAGACCGATCTTAGAATCCTTGAAAATCGAACTCCGGGATCGCTGTTTTACCAATTCAATATAGGACTTACATGCATACGATTTGCGTGTCATCGACACTCTATACTACTACACAGGGTTGGGAAAGTTACTTTATAGAACCCTTATAAAATTTTTTCACCGTTTTTATACGATGTATGGACCGTTTTTAGCTAATTTTTAGTCCGTTTTTTCCCATTTTCTTGCACTTTCAAGCATTCGAAGATCGCAAAGAAACGATGACGAGTATGCTCGAACATACATATGTATAAGGTCCAGTTTTTCATTATCTGGTTAACTTGTGGTTAGATTTTATCTAGACCGTGGTCCGATTCATGCTGACAATGCTCATGAGCATTATTTGTCTTCGTTCAATATTTGACAAACAACAAGGATGAAATGATTTTTAAGCGTTGTGAGCGTGAATCGGATCGCGGCCCTAATGAGTTTCTGGAGACCCTAGAAATAGGAGTCCGGACAATGTTTTAGTTAGAAATAAAATGGCGTCCATAAGGGGCACAAAAAGGTTATGATTTGGATTTTGAAATTGTGATATCATTTTTGTGAGGCGATTTTGTGTTTTCTTTAGTAAACTATCACAAATTTATAGTGTATAGAAAATTCATTATTTGATTTAGTAATTGTCCAAAAGAACGTTGGCGATGAAAAATTTTTAGTAGCAATTAAAACAACGTCAGTGCATTCTATAGTCAAATAACTAGTTAAACTGTAACTGCTTTATATGTTTTTATAATCTATATATTTTATATGTTGTAGTAAAATGATTTAATTATTAACAAGTAAATTGAAACTTTTTCTTTATTTTTCGTTTCACTATGTTTTCAAATTATGCTGCGCTTGGAAATAAGTTTCAACAGCAATGATTAGTCGCGCCATATCCTTTCCTAACCAATGGTCGCGTTCAGCAGACTCAACT